GTGTGTGCGTGTGTGTGTGTGTGAGAGTGTGCGAGTGTGTGTGCGCGTGAGTGTGTGCGCGTGTGTGTGTTTGTGCGTGAGTGAGTGAGTGTGTGTGTGTGTGTGTGTGATGAAGCTCTGCTCTTGCTCTCTGGCAGGTGTGACCATCTCTCAGGTGGATGAGGAGACGTTCTCCGTGTTTGCTCCGACGCCCGGCGCCATGAGTGAAGCGCAGGAGTTGATCCGAGCCGTCTGCAGAGATGATGTGAGTGTGATGATCAGCTGCTCTGATGATGTCCCGTGATCAGACTCTGACGCTTGTCTTCTGTTCTGCAGCAGGAGCAGCAGCTGGAGTTCGGAGCCGTGTACACAGCCACCGTCACAGAGATCAGGTGGAGTTTAGCCTCTCACAGCACAGAGTTTATCGTTCGGATCCAGTTAAAGGCATAGTTCACCCAAAGATGAACACTTGCTGCTAATAAACTCGCTCTCAGGCCATCCAAGATGCAGCTGACTCCTAGTAAAGAAGATTTTTAGCTGAAACCTTCTCCTTGGTGATTCATAAAATGCAAGTCAGCAGTTACCTGTCTTTGAGAAAAAAAAAGGCAACACAAAATTAATACCCGTGGCTCTTACATTTACGTTTAGTCGTTTAGCAGATGCTTTTATCCAAAGAGACTTACAAACGAGGACAACAGAAGCATTCAAAACTAACAAAAGAGCAATGATACACTAGTGCTATAACAAGACTCAGTTAGCTTAACGCAGCACACGTAGCAAGTTTTTTTTTCAATTATATAATAAATAAAAAGAAAACAGAATAGATAAAGAATAGAGCAAGCTAGTGTTAGAGGCCTTTTTTTGCTTTTTGTTAATTGTATAATAAATAGAATACAAAAAGAATAGAGAAGGTAGTGTTGTGTTTGTTTTTTAAAGAAAACAAGCAGTTAGTTAAATGAATAGAGTGCAAGTCTAAAAGGGGCACGTTTTTTTTTTATGATATATTGAGGTCTTATGAAGCAAAACGATCAGTCTGTGCAAGAAACCAAACATTATTTACAACATTATTACCTGTAATCCAGAGCTTCAGGCAAATGGGGAAATACGATTCTTTTTCAACAAAATGGTTATTTCAAACAGTTTGTTTTAATGTTCACTAGTTAATTTACGTAATCAGAAAACACGTGTGTAGCAATTGGATGTGGGCAGCTCTTAAAGTGACAGCAGTCTAATATTCCTGCTTTCTGTCACTCATGTTCATCAAACAACACAAGAGAGAAAATCTCTCGCTGCTCTTGACTAAATCACTTTAATAACTTTAATAAGAAGAAATATATTTAATCAGAGGCGGACAGTAGTGAAGTATTTGTACTTGACTCGAGTAAATTAAAAAGTGTCTGCACTTTATCAGACTGTTTTTCTTTTACTTCACTACATTCCAAAGCATAATGTCGTAGTTTTTACTGCACTACATTTCATAAATAATTTTTTTTGTTTTTGTTTTTTTGCCTTTAATACTTAAGAACATTCAAAATGTAGTACTTTCTTGTACTCAAGTAAAACTTTGAATTACTTTTAGTTGAGTAAAAGTAAGAAAGTACTAGATTTCTAATGTGATTAAGTACTAAACGATATTTAACATGAAACGTAGTGCAGTAAAAAGTACAATATTATGCTTTTTGGAATGTAGTGAAGTAAAAGAAAAACAGTCTGATAAAGTACAGACACTTGAAAATCAGCGTAAAAATACTTCACTACTGTCCACCTCTGTGTTTAATTCACACAGTGAAGAATATGCAGTGTTTTTATACATTCGACTGCTTTATACAATGTATGTAGCATTTCTTATATGTGTCCCTGCAGCACAAAAGCAGTGTTAAGTCGCTGGGGTATATTTGTAGCAATAGCCAACAATACATTGTATGGGTCAAAATTATCCATTTTTCTTGTATGCCAAAAATCATTAGGATATTAAGTAAAGATCATGTTCCATGAAGATATTTTGTACATTTCCTACCGTAAATATATCAAAACTTAATTTTTGATTACTAATATGCATTGCTAAGAACTTCATTTGGACAACTTTAAAGATGATTTTCTCAATATTTAGATTTTTTTGCACCCTCAGATTCCAGATGTTCAAACATTGTCCGATCCTAACAAACCATACATCAATGGAAAGCTTATTTATTCAGCTTTCAGATGGTGTATACATCTCAATTTCGAAAAATTGACCCTTATGACTGGTTTTGTGCTCCAGGGTCACATTTATTTGTTCTACTGTAGCTTTTTTGGGCTGTTGTTTGTAATTAGTTTCTTCTTATTATTTAATCGTTGCCTGACTGTTTACTTGTCTTCAGTGAGCTTGAGTTTTGTTGTAGTGTTTAGTGAAGCTAGTAAAGCTAGTTTGTGTGTTCCAGGGACATTGGCGTGATGGTGAAGCTCTATCCCAACATGAGCGCTGTGCTCCTGCACAACTCCCAGCTGGACCACAAGCGGGTGAGCACCTGTCCTCCTGTCCTCTGACCCTGCTCGATCAGCTTCTGAAGTGTGTGTGTGTGTTTCAGATCAAGCACCCCAGCGCTCTGGGACTGGAGGTCGGGCAGCAGATCCAGGTGCAGTGGGCAGCAGCCGCAGCGTGTGCTCTCTGAGCTCTGCGGGTTTCTTCACCGGTGTGTTCTGTTCTCTCAGGTGAAGTATTTCGGCCGAGACCCCACGGATGGCAGGATGAGGCTGTCTCGTAAGGTGCTGCAGTCTCCGGCGGCGGCGGCGGTGAGGAGTCTGAGCGACAGACACAGCATCTCTGTAGGAGCGTCCGGAGAGCAGAGCCCAGACTCATAGAGCAGCTCACCTGCACCTTACTGAACACACTGTATTTTATAATAAACACTCTTATTACACACATTGTCCTCACTTGAGCTTTTGCATTACACCGTGTCCGAACTACACACGACGCGATAAAAGGTATCTTTTCCATGTTAATCTTGAGTTTTTGTCCTAACTTGCCGCGACGGCGACACGCAAAATTTCTATTTTAGAAACAGGTTCTATTTGCGCGACGCTGGAAAAACAACATACAAACTATATGAAAGTAGATAATCTCAGGTGATCATGTGCTTTATTCAAAGTTAAAAGTCTCTAATATGAGTTTAAATGTAATTTTGTGTGACCTTATAGCCATACTGAAAGCAACAATAGATAGTTTACCTCAGATCTTGAAAATAAAGCAAAGATGACCGTTAAAACTGAACTCACTGCGAACCAACAAGTGTATTCCATGACAAAGATGTTATCAGTCATTCAGTATGTACATTTAATGATGTTAAAAAGCTTTAATATTTATGAATTATGAAACACGCTTCTGATTGGCTTTGATATTTGGCTGCGTTTGGTGTGGACCATAGACTGTATTAAAACAGGTGTGGACACACAAATTGCTTGTCGCTGGAATCTTGTCGTGCCGCGTGTAGTTAGGACATGGTGTTACACGTTTGCGAAGGGTGCAAACCCCGGAGCATAACTATGGAACGCCAATCCTGCCATAATTAGAAATAAATGTACAAAGAAATGTAAAAAAGCAAATATAAATAAATAAATATGCAAAGAAAAGTAAAACAAAAATAAATAATTATTTATAATTTTATTAAGAAGTGTAGCCTACATGACGCGCCTGTTGATGGTGTGGGATGAATGATTTAGATGGGCAATATGGCCAAAATCTTATATCACGGGTTATTATTTCAATTTCACGTGGGGGGTTATTTCGGCTGGGAAGCGTGCAATCTGTGATCGTGTTTTTTTAGGTTTCACTTTCAACGCATACAACGCATGTTTGAAAGATTCGGGATAGAAGGAGGCATCAGTTACTGTAGAAGATTTGTCGCCTCGCGCCACTTCCCGTGTGGTCACCGCATCAACTGATTATAATGGGTTCTCTTGGTGTAGACACGGCTTTAGATACGGATTAATCACACATCTTAGGCTGGAAATATCCAGAATTAGATCAAACAAAAGGTGTCCATGGGAATGGAGCTAGTGAAACACACGCCATGCATTATAGCCTAAAACATGCTTAATATTCGCAACTGACACCAACGATTGTATGTGGCTATGCAGTGGAGAGGCGTTCACTGTCGAATATAATGTAGCATTCATTTTGAAATTGTCAAATATTTTTTCTTGATTACAAGAAAAAAAACTATTGTTCTTGTTGTGATTTAGTTCTTGTTTTTCATTTAATTCATAAGTTACCACTGCAAATTAAATGGTTTCGTTTTTTTCTGCAGTCGAAGAAAGTATAGCCTAAATTATGTCAGTGATTTCTCATTTTAAAGATTATCAAGAATTAATCACAATCCTTAGGCTGGAAATATCCAGAATTAGATCAAACAAAAGGTGTCCATGGGAATGGAGCTAGTGAAACACACGCCATGCATTATAGCCTAAAACATGCTTAATATTCGCAACTGACACCAACGATTGTATGTGGCTATGCAGTGGAGAGGCGTTCACTGTCGAATATAATGTAGCATTCATTTTGAAATTGTCAAATATTTTTTCTTGATTACAAGAAAAAAAACTATTGTTCTTGTTGTGATTTAGTTCTTGTTTTTCATTTAATTCATAAGTTACCACTGCAAATTAAATGGTTTCGTTTTTTTCCGATCTGCAGTCTAATAAAAGTTAAGAAAATTAGCCTTTAGATCTACAGCCAAATATATATTTATTTATATTTGCTTTTTTACATTTCTTTGTACGTTTATTTATTTATTTCTAATTATGGTAGGATTGGCATTCCATACATAACCAGTGTGGATGTGTTCATAGCCCGTATCTGTCATGCAGATGTGAAACCATGCCGATTCTGTAGAAAAGAGAAAAGTAACAAATCCCACACGTGAAAGTGAATATGAAGAGTTCAGATGCAAACGCCTCTAAGTGCCAGTTTTCTTCTAAAATGAGCATTTCTATCAGGCAAAAGAGAAAAGTTCTAATTTTGGAAGAAGATTTCAGGTGACACTTAGAGGCTTTTGCATCTGAACTCTTCACATTCATGCTGTAATACGTGACGAACAGAGCTTTTTCATTTTGAGAAGCATTTTAGAAGAAAATCCTCCTTGAAGAGCTGAAAAACTTGAAACCGATCAGATATGTGATTAGAACAATGAAAGTTATCGAACTCTTATGATATTACTGTTTTGTGAGCAAATTTTCAGTTTGCTGCAAAATAGTTTGAGAACTGAAGACAGCTGATTGTGTTATTTGCAAAGCATCATGGGATTCTGTGCTGATCATCCTCGTGTTTATGGGTTGTGTCCTTCACTTTGGCAAGTACCATTTAAAAATGTATATTTATATTAAGAAATGAGCTGAAATCAGACCTGTGACGCATACAGAAACGTGTATTATCATACCGTACATTATTACTGTCTTTAAAGTACATTAGGCTATAATTAAATATGAGTGTCTTTGGACAAACCTTTCCTCACTGCTGTGCTCTATAGCACAGTTACTACAGTAAAATAATAATAGTTCATTGATATCTGGATATTATTATATGATATTATGAAAATTAACCATGGCTTTAGTACAAATAAAACCATGGTAACCACAAATTAACCATGGTTTTGCTACACTAAACAGTTTAAGCATGGTATTTGTAGTAAAACTGATTATACAAAAAAAACATGGTTACCATTGTTGGGAAGTAACTAAATTGCGTCATTTAATTACAAAATTAATTTTAGTCCGTTACAGTTACTGAGATCCGTGGTGTCCCGGCGCCGGAGTGAAGGACATCTGGGAAGATCGATTAAAATGTGTAATTAAAGTACAGTTACTTAAGAACATGTTAAAGATTACAAAGGGGGAGTATTAGAAAGTGTAATATTCAGTTACATCTGAATATTTTCACACACATACAGATTTAATTGACTTCTTTCATAGATTGCATTGACTGCTCTGTATATGAGACCGCAATGTTTGAGGAGTTTAGGACACATGCTTATTTCTTAACTCTTTTATTTCCTATTTGGGTTTGTGTATATGCTTTATTTTTTAAGATTGACTGTTTTTCTAAGGCATTGTTAGATGCCAGGGTTTCATAGCTATGCAAAGATTTCATTTCAAAAACAGTATCATAGCTATCCAGCTAGCAATAGCCATCATTTCACCGTCTCGGTTAAGTTTAGACCCGATATATTCCGGCTATGTGTAACCCACTTCTAGCCCAAATAACCTTGAATTTGGTTTCATGTGTTTTTTTGGCAAAATAACTTGTGAGATGTATGATATTCCATCATGTAAGCAAAGTAACAGCGTTTACAGGGTGTTTGGTTTCATTTCTTTGACATGTTCAATACTTAGCCTGTGCGTCGCCACGATTTAGCTCTAAATTGGACGGGCTACGTGTAGTCTGCTTTTAGGCCACCCGGCGAAATCGAGGCAATCTGTGGTCTAATTTTAAAACAACAGAACAAACACAGCTTTGACAAAGATTAATCCATATTAATTTATACAGCGAACACACTCAGAAGAATTGGAGAAACTGAGGGGGAGTTTCAACATCTGGAAAAGATCCGGAGCAAAGGTAAAAAATAAAAAAAAAACCTATCCAAAACAACATTTCCTCACTAAAGCGCGCATCTCTGACAAAGTCCATCATTTATTTTAATTATTATATTGAATTTATTACTGAACAATGGCTTGTTAGATACAGAGAGAGCATGAGCATTACAAGTAACGTTACAATAAGATTTATTTTGAAACTTCCAAATTGATAGTAAAGCTTAAGAATTCA